AGTCATGGTCTAAAGTTAGTTATATACACATGAGTGTAAAATTGTTTATATCTATGTTCAAAATTGGTTAGATCTCTTAAAATGTTTTGAAAATTGGGAAACTAGACGTTACGACTCAAAATCTTTTTTTAAAATACCTAACGCCAAGCTCCTGTCTTAAAATAAACATACAGATTTTTTTTTTTTTTAATTCAATTCCTACTTTGATGAAATATGTGTTTTAAACTCATTTGGGCCAGACCGATTCTGCCTGGTGAGCACTCGGCAAGCCAAGCAATATGACCCGCTTTTCGTCGTCTTGTTTATATATGGATGAGCAGTCTATTAATCTATATATGTCATTGATCTAGCCTACAAAAAGGTTATTGTTTCTTCTTTTTTTATTCTTCTTTTTCTTCTTCTATTTTATCACATAGTAAAGTCACGGCATAATAAACAATCGGCAGGCTAACTTGTCTTGGCGGCAACGCTACGCGCACATCTACGCGCACATTGCCATTTTGGGGTCCAACCTCTCAATCAAGCCAGTGGCGTCACTGTCGTCGTTTATATAGACAAAAACAAACAAGTTGCAGTAGCACGGAATCAGTAGCGTGTATCTTAAATTTATTTTGTTTGTGATGTTTGTATTATGTAGTTATTGTTATTTTTTTAGAATTATAGATATTTTTGACACTTTTTATATAGTAGTTGTTTTCCAGTGTTAATTTGTTAACTTTTAAGTGTTTTACTATGTCTGGGCAAAGTTGTGCAGCAACAAACTATATGAATAAACTGTATTAAAAGATTTTTTCGGTTTCTTAAAGATCTTATTAGGTATGTATGGTATAATTTTAAAAAAATCCCAGTTTATGAGTCAGTTTGTCAGTTATAAAGCTATTAGTAAGATGTAGGTAGGTGCCTAGTTAACGTCACGTAAAGTTTAACGTCAATTTATATTTACTTATGTAGGTATATTATTAAGATTTAAAGTAAAATGTTATATTTTAAACATCTCCCGTATGGAGTTGACAAAATGGAAAAATCTTTATTTTTATTTTAAGGAAAAAGTCATTATAAAAAAATTCTGTTTGACGAAAAAATAGGTTTACTATATTAATATGTTAGGTCAGGTGTACATGGTCTTAATAAATGAAGAAACTTAAAATTGACAAAAGGAAAAAATCTGTATTACCTTATTGATTTTACGAAGAAAAGTCACAGTTTTCCTTTCGGTTTTCCTTCATAACTTTAAGAGGAAACTTTTTCATGTAATTTTCTTCAACAAGCAGAATTTTTTGTATGGAATAATTTTTTTTTCTGAAAAAAAAAATGAATATTAATCGTAATTGTGTTATTCCCAAATACTGAAATGCTTAACAAAAATTTAATTCTGATATTAATTTTGATAATTATTCTAGATATGCGAATAACAAAGCTTTATAATATTGATAAATCTAAAGTATTTTCATTACAAAAAGCAAGAAAATCTTAATTAGCCATTAAAGAAATTATAAGTAGTAAATTAGTAATGAGTCACAATCAAAATCATGTGTTTTAAGCAGTGCTATTAAAAATGTAAAATTCTTATATTTTGTCGAAGTAAATTCAAAAGCCCGCCAATTTTCAAGCTAAAATAGCATTACATATATTACCGACTGAGTATTAATTGCACAAAACTATTCCATATGTCGCTAAAGGTAAACATGCTGCCAAATTAATGAATTGCATGCACAAAATATTAATATTTTTTAAGAAAATTTTATTATATATGCGGATTTTTAATAAAAAAATGTCTTAAAATTCAACGTTGCGATGTATGTACACATTATGCCTTAACACACGAAGACTTGGATATAAGCTCCATGTATTGTTATTATAAAGCATACAAAAAAAGCAAATAAAGATATTTTTGGCAATTTAAAAATGTCAAATAATAGTTTTGTATGTTTAATAACAAAAATTGAAATAATTTTTCATCACAATTTTGAATTATTTATCACTAAATCCGGCGTTTGTAATTTTTTTTTAGATTTAATTAATTCCGATATAACAGTTGACGCTCCTTGTCCCCGATTTCCATAAATATATGTTATTAAGGGTCGATTCCACCGTTGTGTTAAACGGAGATTAAAATAACATTGTTAATGTAAAAATGTAATTTTAAACTTCGTTTAACCCAACGGTGGAATCGGTCCTAAGTTATATTTAAGGCTGCTCATATATTTCACTTTAAAAATATTAATAGAAATTTTAAGACCATCAATAAAAACAAGCTAATTATTTGGCGCAATCTGTGAAGCTTTTTTGTTTTAATACGATCCTGCCTATCAATACCTTATTTTATTACAAAATCTTTAAATACGCTTTAATCCGACCCTGACTAAGACCCCCGAATGGCATCGTCAAGGTCAAATTTTCTTAGTATATTATTTGTATGCGATCAGCGGAGAGTGGGCCTGCCGATTGTTTTTTATGCCGTGGTAAAGTGATGATAAGTTTATTAGTGTTTCTATGGCGGCTAAGAAGCTTGTTGTCGTTATTCTTGATTTTTCCAATGAGGATAAGTAATTTGGAGACGCAATATAATAAAGAGATTGATTTGGGAGCGGTCATTCATTATTTGATGAAACATATCTTAGGTATATAATTTATTTAAAATTTATGATGGTGCAAACGCGACTTATTTAAAGGATCAAGCTTAAAGGTCTTTTTAAGCTTTATTCAGAGATGTAATTACTATTAATACATATCTTATAGGAAACATAAAGAATTGCACCTCCATGGTTGTTCATGCACTGGCAAGTTTTGTTTTTCATCCACCTTACCCTTATCTTTACGTAATTAAAATTGAATAGAGTTTGGCGACATTTCACAGAATTTTTTGAATTAATTTTTATTTATTTAAATAAAACAATTTAGAATTAATTATTAATTTATAATTTTCCTTTTTATTTCAGCCAGAAAAAAATCAAAACTCAAGAAATTCTTTCTACCAATCATCCTCTTCGTCCTTCTCAAGGCCGTCGTTTTTATACCTCTAGCTTTGGGTATTTTGGCTTTTAAGACCTGGAACGCCATTCAACTGTCATTCGTTTCGTTCGCCACTGCTGCAGCGTTAGCTTTCTGGAAATTCTGCACCAAGGTGAATCAGGATGAGCATCCTGCTGTTATACATGCTGGTTGGGATTTAGATAGAAGCGATTCGCAGTATTTGGCTTATAGTGGTTATGTTCCTCACTGAAAGAATTTGATTTTTTGTTATTTATTTATTTATTTTATTTATTTATTAAATAGTATATTTCTTAGTTATTGTCTTTTATTATAAATAAAGTAAAGGTAAATATAGATAAGGCTATAAAAGCAGGTATGCAGGAACAAGATGGGAATTTAAGACAAACACTCCTGCGATGGAAAAAGATAAAACATCACTTGTCTGGTGGGGTTGTAGTCTGGAGTAACAGAACTAGTCTAGCTACTACGAATGCTAATATCTTAAAGGTATAATAACTAGCCTGTGCTTGTAACCAGTTGTGAATAAACTTATACTACGGCTGCTCTGGAAATGATCTTAAACTGAGGTGTGAGTACCTCTACATAAAATGTCAAAGAACGTGGGAAAGAAGGTAAGATTCTTGAAATATAATGTAGAAAAATAGATATGAAAAGCAAAATTATTTTAAATCAAGCAGAACATTTGATTCTCACAACTCAATTTTATTTACAATACATATCCAAGGTTATTAAAATGCTTAGTATATACAGTATGATCAAATGAAATGTATCCACCCCCCCTTTTCTTGGTTCCCTCAGATTTAAAGAACAAATGCTCGGACACTTCGATTTTTGTTTGGAGGTAGTAATTAACTGTGAAATTGATTTTTTAAAGATTTATTTAAACGATAATTTAACCGGTGTTGAAAATGTGACCCATTTGCTTCCATACAATAATACAAATTTTGTTCAAATCTATTGCGAACATTTTGTAGAATTTCAGGTGTAATTCTCCTGCATTCAGCTATTATCCTTTGACGAAGATCTACTATCGAATTATGATTCGTTCCAAAACATTTATTTTTCAAGTATCTACAAAGAAAATAGTCCAGAGGCGATAAACCCGGTGACCTTGCAGGCCATTCAATTGGACCTCTCCTTCCAAATCACCGTCCAAGGTACCGGCTATTTAAAAATTATCTTACAGCACCAATATAGTGCAGAGGTGCTCCATCTTGCTGGAAATGAAACCGACCAACATCATGATTTGGGTCATTTTCTAATATTTCTGTTATAAGAGGGTCCATTTCATCTTCAAGCATGTTTAGGTACACTTCACCAGTTAAATTTCCAGGAATGAAAGGTGGTGCTACAATATGGTTACCTAATATGCCATACTAGAAATTTATTTTTTCAAGGTGTTGGGTATGATATTCACGGAATAAATGTGGGTTACTGTCATCCCAGTAACGGCAATTACGCCTATTGAAAGATCCGTTAAAATTAAATGTACTCTCATCGGAAAAACAAATTATAAATAATAAGTCAGTGCCGTGTCGTCTACACTCGATAGTCTATTTATTTATTAGTTATGTTATTAGTTTATACTTTGATACTACCTGATACTTGTTTCACGGATAGTGATATTAGTTTGTTTTGTTAGGAAAAAAAAAAACAAAATATAATTTAGTAATTTGACACTATAAAAAATCTGATGTGTCCAACACATGACTTTCCTATCTAGTTATTATAGGCTTTTTCCGGTTATTTTGTACAACCTATTGCAGCACCTCTATAAATGTTTAGAGGATAAACTAATTATATACATTTTCCACATGCATCTACCTCGAAACATTTTCCTATAGATATTCATTGAAAACGAAAATACTGAAAATGGAGAAATTCAGCAGTTGACCAGGCGAGAGGATTAAAACTGGGTACCCACTGATTGTAATGCAACAAGGTATTCAGAACCACAGAACTTGAATACTTGGTTCTGTGGGCCGTCATTTCTACAAGAAAGGGAGAGAAAATGGCCTAAAAAACCGGCAAAGGACAAGAACTTCTTAGATACAGAAGAAATTAAGAAAATACACTATTCTTGCGACTGTAGTGGAAAAAGATAAACTACTTCTACCCAATATAAAGATATTCTTAAAATGGCTGCGTACAGCGTGCAGTAAAAGATTGATCAAAAAAACTAAAGAAAAAATGTTTTCCTGCAGAACTAACGCTAGAAGAACTACCGACGCTGAAAGAAGATGGATTAGAATTTACCAAATAGAATGCTACCTCCAGGAAATGACATGTCTAAAGATTGGTAACGAAATTCCAAAGAAAATTACAATTTATTCACTAAACCCTAGTTTAGAAGATGGAATACTCGTTTTGAATGGAAGAACCGACTTATTCATCATCATCATCATCTGAATTAGGGCGTGGTTCAAAGCCCACTTGTACTGAAGCTCTAGGCTTATTGTACCCCTGACAGTTTCTATCCCATCAGATTGATTTTCTTGATGAATTCAAGAATATGTCGCGATTTCTTCAGGTTCCGGATATTGTACCCGACTTATTAATCCACATGGATCGTCCCAAGCAACATTATTGAAGATTTCTTGTGAAACACTATCATGAGTAATGTCGTCACTTTGGGGTGGAACTAGTATTAAACCAATTAAGACAAAAATATTGGATTGTAAATAGAAGAACAACTGTTAAAAGAGCTTTTTCAAAATGTTTAGTATGCAGACAACCCAAGATGCTTCTTATGGGACAAATACCTTTTACAAGATTGAGTCGTGAAGTAAGGGCCTTCGTGAACACAGGCATGGATTATTTCAGACCTATCTATGTTGAAGTGAGCAGAAGAAAAAAGAAGAGGTGGGGAGTCATTTTTACGTGCATGGCAGTTCGAGCAGTACATCTTGAGGTAGCTCACACACTAAACACAGACCTCACACCAATGGCGATTACACAATTCGTTGACGGAAGAGGTAAGCTAGCCCTAATACCATGTGACAACTTGAAAGCAGCAGTTAAACAGCTGGGAATTGGCATAAAGGACGAAAAGCTGACAGATTCCATGACAGCAAAGGAAATTGTAGTTGTTTTTACTCTTAATAACCCAAATTTAAGTGAATTTTTAATATGTATAATACCAAAACTGCAGGGTTGAGGTTTCTAGAGCCGTTTTTTGATTAACTGTTTAAATAAAATCCAATAAATAGGGTATCATAAGAAAATAAATTGTTTGTCCTTTAAAATATTTACCTCTTCTCTCCCACTTTTCCCACTTTAAAATTTTAAAGGTGTGATTGTCCCCACCAAGGGGTTGAAGACGCGGTTTAAAAAATATGCTTCAAATGCGTCCCTTTATAAGCAAAAATCGATGTGTCCGAGCATTTGTTCATTAAATTTCAGAAAAATAGAAAAGGCTAGGTCCTAATTTTTGCCCTCAAAAGGGCGCTAAAATCGAAATTTGATCCAACAATATTTGTTGAAAATAGAAAATCATCCTATATATTAAAAAATAATAAAAAGTTGTCATAGTCTCGAAGAGTTTTTTTTGAAAGGATATGTTAATTTGTTTGAAAGATTGTAAAGAGTTGTCAGAAAAATATATTGATAAAAACTGAAAATATTCGTTTCCTTTGAACCAATTCTTAGTAAATTCTTCTCCATTTACAACATTTGGCGACCGTGACAGGACGCATAATGGAGAATCTCAATGATTTGAAGAAAGAAAGAACTGCTTTAAGAAGACTGTTCACTAAGACTTGTAGAGAACTTAACGTCTTATACAGTGAACCTACTCTGAATAAACCAGAGTTAGTGTATAGAATGGATGGATTGGAGAGCAAAGCCGATAGATTATTCCTTCTAGACTTAGCTTCTAGACGATAAAATTAAGGATTTACTGTTCAATAATGACAAAGCAGTAGAAGATATAGAACATGAAGTAGAAACAGCTTAGATTTATTGTGAAGAATTCATAAAGTACAAGCGAAAATATGTAAGAATTTGTGAAGAAGAAACAAAATAAATTAAAGCGCATAGTATAGGTAGTAGTGCGAAAATTGAAACAACAAAGAGAAATTTTAAACTACCGAAAACATTACTAAAGAAATTTAATGGTGAAGCAAAGATCTGGATAGGATTTTGGGGCCAATTTAAAAAAATAGCTTATCTTTAAAATTACTTTACTCCAGCAGGCATATTCTTAATCATAATCTACGTAAAACTCAGTGAAACTCTCGTCTTGTCCAAACTAAGCTACTGCGATTTTATCTATGGACCCTGCCTAGACTTGAACACTCAGTATAGAATTCAAAAAATTCAAAATTCGTGCACAAAATTAATATTTAATCTTCGTAAATATGATTATGTTACTCTTAAAATACGAGAATTAAATTGGCTTAATATGAAGGAACGCAGGACACTCCATTTAGGTAACTATTTTCATAAATTAATAAAATGCATTGACAGCTCTTCCCCACTAATTAAAAAGTTTATAACTCGTAAAACAATTCATGATCGAAACCTCCGCGACGTCACAACTTACACAATACCCCGTCATCGAACAGCCTTATTTAAAAGAAGTTTTGTATATAATTCTATTAAATTGTACAACTCTCTTCCTTTAGAATTAAAAAAATTAAACATAAATTTATTTAAAAAATACTTTAAAAAATATTACGTTCAAAATTTTGTTTGAGCTTAGATTTAATTGACCTTTTTAGTTTTTTACTTTTGATTATATTTTTGAATACTATTTTTTAGCTTTATATAGAAAAAATAAATAAAAAAAAAACAAAAATTAATTATTGGAATTTTTGCTCCATTGCAAATATATTTTTTTTGTTTGTTTTTATTTGTTTTTGTTTTTATACATTGGTGTTTTAGTGGTTAAGTAGGAGTAGCTATTACAGCTAGACTTCGCCACTATTGCATCACTATTCTTTTTTTTTATATTCCCTTGTAAAAAAAAACTTTGTAATCATATATACATTATTTTCCCTTAATAAAGACGATTTATTATTATTATTATTATTATAGATGCCAAGAACAAATGAATGAGCTAGGCGAGAAAAATAGAGTTACTCTCAGTTGGGTCCCGGGACATAACAGGGTACAGAGTAATAGTCTTGTAAGGAAAGGGGCTCAAACATCCTTTGTAGGACCTGAGCCGTTCTGCGGCATCAGCAATAACATAATATTAGGAGAGATTAAAAAAGAATTGGGTATCGTCTAGTCCATTTTTACTAGCGGCCACAATAACACATAATTTAGATAAAGCACCGGACCATCTTAAAATCACAGCAGAAAGGTTAAAACATTCATTCTATCTCGACAACTGTATCACAAGTGTAGATACCTTTGAAGATTAAAAAAAGTTTATTAAAGAATCAACGGAGCTTATGAATGAAGCTCGGTTTGAATTGCAAGGGTGGGTTCATAGATTTACAAAACATTGAAAATGAAAATGTTATGGTTTTGGTTCTGTGATGTTGATTCTTTGAGACAGATACAAGATATTTCAGTTACAAAAAGAGGACTTCTATCGTTAGCGCAGAAAATTTTTGACCCCATTGGATTCAGTTGTCCAGTATCTCTAACACCAAAGGTAATTTTACAAGAAAGTTGGAAAAGCTAAATTAATTGGAACAAAGAGCTGCCTGAACCTCTTCTTAAACAATTTTGTATGTGGAAAATCAAATTTTCTATCAGTTTAATACATATACCTAAAAAATTTTGTACTTTCCTTTTGGACAATGTCATTAAGACTAGTTTGCACGTATTTTGTGACTCAAGTAAGCTAGCCTTTGCCAAATGTATATTTTTTCGTGCTATACACAGAGATGGAACAGTATTAGTACAGCTTTTACAGGCAAAATCAAGAGTTGCTCCGATCAAACCAATGACTATTCCTAGACAAGACTTGATGGCATCTCTCATTGGAGTAAGTAGAATATTTTAAGCATGTAAACCTATTATTGGACTGATTCAATGGTGGTGCTTAGTTGGATTAAGACACAGGGAAATTGAAATACCTTTGTAGGAAACCGTGTAAGAGAAATATGTACCTATAGTAATACGGATGACTGGTATCACGTGCATGGAGAATTAAATCTAGCTGATCTACCATCCAGAGACTGTGAAGGTAAACATTTATTAGAATGTCAATGGTGAAAGGGTCCAAAATGGTTAAGACAAGAAACACAATTTTGGCCCAATTCTGAAATAGTTTACTCACAAGAAGCAGATCTAGAAAAGCGGAAAACTGTTTTAACCACGGTTTCTTGCACAGTTGAACCATTTAGCAAGAGATTAGGTTATTTTTCAAAATACAGGAAAATTTTAAGAATGGTTGCTTGGATAGTTCGATTTTATACTAATGCTAAGAATCCAAGAAATAAAACTCTAGGAGAATTACAATATAGAGAACTAGAGACAGCATAAATAATACTTATAAGAATCATACAACAATAGAGTTTCGGATCGTTAGATATAAAATCCGTACATAATTTGGAAGTTTTTCGAGATGAAAATTGTTTACTGAGGGTTAGGACTATACTCTGTTTTTAAACTAAGAGGAGCGATTTGAATTTAAGTTGACAATTCTGTAGACTTCTAATTGGTCAGATTGAAGTCAGTTTCACACATAACTTTTTTGCTACTGTTGACAGTTCTATTTTCTATTCTGACATTGTATAATTTAAGTTTTGTTATTGCTTTGACATCTCATCATTATAACTTAGTTTTTTATTTTATTTCTTTAATAAAAGTTCTTTTCAAAACTTTAGTAAGCAATTGTATTGAATTTTTACGATTATGGATCCTTCTACATCGAATACTATTATAACAGATCCTCACGGAGTCCATCAAAACAACGAAAACGAATGAATTTAGGCTATTCAAGTCTCTCAGAAAAGCAGTAAGTAATAAATATGTACAAATAGGTATTGGATAATAATACGAAAACCAAAATTGTTGATGTTATATCCCAAATTTCTCAAGCTGCCGGTAAGTTTTACTCATTACTTTCAAATTAAAAATAATATTAAATACTCAATATTTTTCTTACCGATTATTGAAATAATACCGCAATAATGGAACAATATCTAGTCTAAAAAGTATTTATGAAAGACGAGGAGTTCTAAAAACATTTGATGATGATAAATGCTATTCGAAGATTAGTACAGGATTTCTATTTCAAAAATGAGTTATCTAGATTGAATAAAATTTTGCAAGAATTGAAACATTTAAATTTGCCACATATATATTATTCATCTTTATATACTTTCTTGAGATATAATAACTAAGTAAGTTTGTAACTTTGACCAGTCAAATGTACTGTTTATTTATTTTGTATATATTATTTTAGATGTTTTAAAAGAAATTGTCAAAGTGTATTAATAGAACACTATATACGTAGATTTAAAATCCATTAAACAATATAGAAAAGAAAACAGGCTAAGCTTTTACTTTGATGAAGATCATAATAAGGTTTATCAACAGGCCTGAAAAGCCAAAAACAGGTGCCTTAATATACATGCTAATTCTGAAGGTTTTGTAGAAAATACATTTACCTTGACGAGACGAAATCCGAAGTATTTTAGAATTGGTTTTCTACATTTTTTACAAAGTTTTTTAATGATCCTATGATTGCGATGGAAAATGTATCATATCATAGTCGAAAAGTTGAAAAAATTCCTTTGTCATTAAGAAAATCTGACAAGAATGGTTACAATACTAAAAATATTAAATTTATTTAAATATGAAGTGATATCAACTTTTACACGTAATTTGGCAACATAAAGATGCACATAATTTGAATGTTGTCGATGTCCGACATGATATCCGAAGGACAAGTCACTTCGCCTTGCCGTGTAGGAGGAGGGTAATTTGTTTTTATTTAATTTATGGGACCAAAGGCCGAATCAAATCAGATCCATTTTCAATCTCAATCCCTCCAACCCACATAAATCGCCAAAAGTGGACTGAAAATGAAATTGAAGATGAAACATATAAATGCAAATGCAAGTTTTCCTCAAATTTTCAATAATGAATGTGGTCGAATGTCGACCACTGGGCGAACACTAGTTATTATAAAACAACAATAAAAAATAAATAATATTTCAAGAAATACAAAATATAATTTTTAAGGGGTTTACTATCAAAAATGCCTTAATATATTACTGGTGTAGAGTAGGATTAAAGTTTACAACAAATTTTAAATATACAAAACTACTTCTAAATAGGGGATTCCAAATAAAAACAAATCGCTATTTACTGCTAATTTCAGAAAATAAGTCATTATATTACAGAATAATTAAATCCGAAGGCTAAAGAAACCAATAAAGTTGTATAGTGGCTGCCCCATATCACTGCGAGTTAAATCCCATAGAATTGATAGAGGCACAAACAAATGAAGTGGCAGCTAAAAACACAACGAATCTTCTGATGTAGATTAACATATTGAG